ACCAGCGCCGGAGGCTGTGGAGGTGGGGGCTGCTTTGGAGATCGGCGGGGGGGGGTGCCCTGAGAAGGGGCTGCGCTGCGGGGACTCCCACCCCAGTCTCACCTCTGCCTCTCTCTCCCCCAGGTGCTGCTCCAGTTCCGGCTTCGGCTTCCCCACCCCGGGGCTGGGGCCTGGCTGCAGGGAAGAGCCCCCGGGGATGGGCCGAGATCCCTGCCCTGGCACAGGCCAAGGGGGCTGCACTCCCGGGACCAACGCCGGGACCCTGGTGCCTGGCGCCAGGGGTGGGCGTGGGGGCGTCCCCCTCCTCCGGGCTCCCTGCAGTCCTGCCTGGGGCCAGGCTCTGTGCTCAGTGCGGCCTTGCCCCCCCCTGGCTCGTGGGGAAGCTCTGGGGGGCTCTTGGGGTGCATCCAGGTAAAGCCTCATCACTGCCTTCCCAAGCTCCTGGCTGTGTCTTGTCTGCGCCCGCTCCTCCCTGCCCCGGGGCCGTCCATGGGGGCTTTTGGGGGACTGGGAAATCTCGAGGTCAGCACTGGAGCTGGGCTCTGAGAGGTAGAGGTGTTGCGGGGGCTTGACCTCTGACCCCTGGGTCTCCCCCAGCCCAGCCAAGGCTCTGGGGCAGGCCCCAGCCCAGCGTCCAGGGCAGTGGGAACCAGCGGGGTTGGCTGCTGAGCATTCGCCCCCCGCGGGGTTTCCTGCTGGGGCCTGGAGATGATCAAGAGCCAGGGGCCAGTGTGGCACCATTGCATCCAGCCCAGGGGGGCTGCTGTTCCCCTTGCACGTGCAGGGAAACTGAGGCACAGGGCAGGAGCCAAGCAGGCCCAGGCCTGGTGCGGGGCTGGCCTGGGGGAATCCGTCCCTCCGGGCCACGGCTGCCCGGCCTGGCTCCAGTGCTGCAGTTCCCCCGTGGGCCGCCAGGTGGCAGCCCGGCCACGCCGTGCCTGGGGATGCTCCGCGTGGTACCTACCCCGTGGCTCCAGCATCCTGCGTCCCCTCCGCCCCGGGGTCAAGCTGCAGCAGCCAGTGCAGGCCTGGATGCCAGAGCCGGCTGCCAGGGCAGAGCTGTGTTTCCCTGCCAGGTGTGGAGCAAGAGCTGGGCCAGCACCGGGACGCGCAGCCCTCTGCCCCCGTCACCTTGGGGGGGCACTGGGGATGGGCGGCATCAGGAAGGGGAGACCTGGCATGCAGCACTCGTGGCTTGGACCTGCTGTGGCCCTGCTGCAGGGGGGCACGTGGGTGGTGTGTGAGGTGCATGCATATATTGCGTGTGGGTGCAGGGTGGGGTGTGTGCACGTGTGAACACGGTTGTGGGGGGAGAGGCGGAGTTCACAGATGCAAGGGTGTGCAAGGTGGGGGGGCAGGTGTGTACATGCCTGTGCACATATGCCCAGGGGTGTGTGCGAGTGCAGGGGCGTGTGTGCACACCGGGCTGCGTGGATGTGCTGGGGTGTGCATGTGTCCGTGTCCCCCTCCCTGTGCAGCCACGGGGCAGGCTCTGTGGGCCACCTGACCTTGGCCCCTTCTCCCCCCCGGGGGTCCCCTGTAGTCCAGGGGTTGAACCCTTTGGGGGGCACGAAGCGCAGGTCCCAGCCTGTTGTGGGGGCTGCAGTGCCCGACCCAGCTTTTATCCAGCTGCCACGGCTGTGGGGAAGGGGTGGAGGGGAGTGGGTACTGCCAGGGCTCTCCTCTCAGGCCCACCTGTCTCCAGTGCCCTCCTCGCAAGGGACCCCTTCGTGGCTCCATCACTCATGCCCCTGGGCATCTCACAGGCACGGTCACCCCAGCAGGGCGTGCACAGGCTGCGCGTGCATGCATGCACAGCGTGCGTGCACAGGCATGGCAGGATTTGGTGGCACACAGGTGCATACATGCCCTGTCCTTGTGTGCGTAGGTGCTAGTATAACTGCTCGTGGCGGGGATGTGCCTGGGCCGTGCTGGCGGGGGCTTGGCTGCAGGGTCAGGGCCGAGCCCTGGAGGCTCACGGGCAAGCCCAGGCTGCAAGGGCGATGCAGAGGCGCTCCGGCAAGAGGTGTGACACGCTGCGGGGGGGATGCTCCACGCCCGTGCTCTGCTGTGGGGTGTCCCAGGTCCCTGGGCTGTGCTAGTTGTGCCCCCCCCCTTTCTGCTCCATGGGTCATTGTGGGGGGCGGGGGCGATGCCTGGGGCTGTGTCAGGGCAACTGCGTCGTGTGCCTCCGAGGTCGGACACGGGGTTCGTCTGGGCTGGTTTGGACGGGGCTGATCCTGCCTCAGGCCGAGCTGGGCTGGATGTGACCTCCGCAGCTCCCTGCCCACCCCGCGGCGCTGGGACTCCGTGATTCCTTCCAAGCCGGCTGCTAGAAACCGCCTCCTGCTCCTCTGCCCCATGGTGGCGAGCAGCTGGGTGGTGGTCCCAGGTAGGTGATCTGTCATGGATGCGCGGCCTTGGTGCTGGGCCCCTCGCCTTGACCCTGGATGGATCCCATATGTCCCTGCATACAACTCACCCCTTGGTCGTGGCAGAAGGATCGGAGGGAGCAAAGCTCGGCCCTTGCAGTAAGTCGCGGGGCCGGGGCTGCTCCAGGTTTGCCCCCTGTGCCTGGCTGCAAATCCGAGCCTGGCACCTGGGCAGGGGCAGAATCTGCTCTTACCGTATTTTCTCATTTATAATGTGCACTCCAGTCTCCAGCATGTTTTGCAGGGTGCTGTATGTGAGGTGGGGGGTTGTGGGTGGATGATGCTGGGATGGCAC